GACGGCTAGCGCAGATAGCCCTCGTGTAGCTTTGCGCGAAATTAAAAAAAAAACAAACAAACAAATTGTACTAAACAAGCATGGACAGTAAGGACAGAGGCTCGGATTACACACAAACCTAAATCCTGCTGTTGCTGAAAAACTTTCTTGCTCAGTGATGGAGAACACACAGAGAAAGCCTTCTCCTGAACGGATGTAATTGTCTCGAATGGCGACATAATCTTCTTGGCCCGCTGTGTCAAGGACGTCAATCTGAACCTCCTCTCCATCCAACAAAACTTTCTTACGGTAGGTGTCGGTATCGGTGGGCTCATACTCTTCAACAAACTGTTCGTTAACAATGGAAATAAAAAAAAACTTGAATGACAAAATTTCTAATATTATGCTAACTTTCAGTAATAAACATACCAAGCTCTAGCTTGTTCATTAAAGGAAACAAACCACTTTGTTTACCACTAAAAACCGGGTTTCGATACCTGTGGTAGACACAGCACAATTAGCCCATTGTGTAGCTTTGTGCTTAACAACAAACAAACAAAAGCTTTCTTTACGTCTGTTTTAGCACATTAAAAACTGAAAATATATCTAAACATGAAAGTATTTTTTGAACTTGAACGTACTAAATCGTATGAAATTGCCATGCGCCATCGGCTTGATGTGTTATATCAGAAACTGGATGCTTCACTAAGATATGTTTGATATAAATTAATTAAGACAACGAAAATATCGAGCATTATATAACCTAAAATGCGATACCTTATTTTTTTGGGCCAATAACTTATATGTAATGAAATTTATTTCCAGCGGGTAGTCCTTATAGTTTATTACTTTAGCAACAGGTAGCGCTACGTTCGAAAATATTCACACGCAAATTCTATAAAGTAGATCTTCACTTAAAAAGTTAGTGCTTTGTTGTTACAACCATTTAAACATGACATTTAATTTTGTTAACAAAAACAAAGACTTAAATGTTTCGCTGATGAACAGATTGTTATTAAAATAAACATTTGGTTTAAGTTCCAAACACACACCCCGTTCAAATAAAATACAAACAAACAACAAACGTAGGCCTAAATTCATTGAAGCAGTTCATAAACACAGTAAACATATGGTATATGTTATTTCTTATTTGAAAAGTGTTAACAGTTAACTGTATCTCATCTTTATGAGTACGAAATTAACAAAAAATATATATATCGGAGATTAAATTGAGTCGGAAAGCAGTGGAACGGCATTCTCCATTCCTTTAGATTTCAAACTATAGGGTTCCTGTTTCTCTGTGACAATAGTGATCCAATCTTCGTGTGGTTGGAATCACGGACGTGTTCACCTGGGTGGCGTGAGGGCAGTAAACTTCCAATGGATAGGTCTGCCCCCCCCCCTCCCCAATCCTCAAACCTGATTATAGAGGTTAAAATCCTAATTTAACAAATGATAAAAAAGAAATAAATGACCGTCTTCTGTCACATACACACACACACACCCCGGCGGGACAGCGGAAAGTCTATGTAATTACAGCGCTTCAATACGGGGTTCGATTCCCTGCGGTGGGCACAGTAGCTAGCTCAATGTGGCTAAAACAAACATCCAAGCATCTTTTACTTCGCATAGTATTGGCTTGTCTGATAACCACAAAGTTACACAAATGGGCTATCTGTGCTTTGTTCACCGCGAGTATCGAAACCCGATTTTTAGCTTTAAAAGCCCTCACATTTATCACTGAGCCACCAGGGTAGGGGTGGGGTATAACATATAATGTGTTAAACATACTGTTGGTATGAACGTGCTTTATAGTCACTATGAGAAAAACCTATACACTCGATAGTGTCAGTGAAGAAAAAGTGGCATCGGTCACTATTCAGTTGTTCACATTATATAGCCACACATAGAGCGGTTATATAATGTGAAGAGCTGAATAAGGCCAATGATACTTTTTCTTCACTTCAGTCATCCAGTGAACAGGTTTTTCTCATAGTAAATACGAAGCACGTTCACACCAACAGTATGTTTGATACTTTTCACTAAGATATAGGTCCAGCTTATCTCTCTTTGGTTAACTTGTGTTCACGGTTACTGATGAGGAGTGGAATTCTCCGAAACTAGTATAACCCAATAACACGTGTTGATCAAAGTGTAGATTGAACTGGACCTCCCTTGAACTTAGACTTCGAAATTAAACAACTTTTGGAATACTAAGTTTATTTATTATATGGTGTATTAATACAAGATTTTATTTATCAGGCGTGTCCTAAAAAAAACAAACACGACAACATCTACAATAATCTACAGGCGTATTTCCGAGATAGCTAGATTCGTCACACGTTACGTATGTGTATATCTTATTGCATGTGACTGATAATCAAACAAAACCTCAAATACAGACGTGCGTTATATATTAATACTGTAATATAAAATCTGTGCTCAATAATCAGTTAGCATACGTCTAAATAATATGGATGACGATCGTTTGTACTTAATACGTTCAACAGTTAACAATTACTGATGGGAAGAAAAAATATGATCTTACCTCGTCATACATAAACTGTAGCGTCAGGGCTGATTTTCCAACTCCCCCACTTCCTACCATAATAACTTTGTGAAGCGCTGGCTGGCTGTTCTTAGGTTTTGACATCGTGGGCTGTTCTGTGCACGAGTTTCTTAGTCTTCTCACTAGGAAGGCAACACCGTATTGATGTCATTATGTTAAGAGTATTTTACTAAAAAAATCCCCCCCCCCAGTGGCACAGCGGCATGTCTGCGGACTTACAACGCTAGAATCCGGGTTTCGATACCCGTGGTGGGCAGAGCACAGATAGCCCATTGTGTAGCTTTGTGCTTAATTACAAAGAAAGAAAACTAAAAAAAATTAGTTTTAAGTTAAGTTTTTGTACAGATTAGAGTTGTTGTTTTTTAAATTCCAAATGTGCCCATTTTCTGTGAGGTTTAGATTAAAGTACGAAGTTGGAATAAAAAGTAAAACTGTAAACAGATGAAAAATTCAGAAAACTTTAACTGATTCTTTATAGGTCTTGCAAATGTGGTGAAAATCACGCCTGATCTCAGGTGTTGTTTCCTCACATTCTTCTTAATCACCAGTGCCGAAGAGGCCTTTCAATCAATTTCAGAGCTGACTAAGCCAAAAAGTATGTGAAATGGACAAGAAGCTTGATGTTATGATGTAAAATGTTTAAGTTTTCGAAGCAATGAGGCCTTTTATACCTAGTAAGTCTGATAAAATCGCGTTAGGCTGAAAATCATTCATTCGTTTGTTTTCGATGCTCTACAGCTAACACATTGCGCGAAAGAAAATAATTACAGGTTTCAGATGATATACAAATGCAACTTAGACACATATAAACACAAGAAATTTACCAAAAACACATGACGTCAGTTGATTTTTATACTTCTTCATACCATAATTTTAAAAATTATTTTTAACGTCGCTTTATCAAGAGTTCGATCGAGAAAAACTCTCAAGATTTTAATCAAAGATGGCCTTTTCCCACAAAAACAAGGTGTTCATACACAAAAGAAAAAAAATGTTGGGTACAAAGAGATAATTCGTTTATAGTCTCTCCATGTTTTTACACTTATTTACTTTAAATTTAAATACAACAATCCCACATTCTTCTTAATAGGTTTTTGTTTCATTTATTGTTTGTTTGTTGTTGTTTATTAATTTCGCGCAAAGTTACACGAGGGCTATCTGCGCTAGCCGTCCCTAATTTACCAGTGTAAGACTAGAGGGAAGGCAGCTAGTCATCACCACCCACCGCCAACTCTTGGGCTACTCTTTTACTAACGAATAGTGGGATTGACCGTCACATTATAACGCCCCCACGGCTGAAAGGGCGAGCATGTTTGGTGGGACGGGGATTCGAACCTGAGACCCCCAGATTGCGAGTTGAGCGCCCTAACCACCTGGCCATGTAGAGCCTTGATTCTTTTATAGCTGTTGCTGATTTAATTTTTGAATTACTATATATACCCCAGTGGCTCAGTGAAGGCTTATACGCTAAAAACTGGGTTTCAATACCCGTGGTGGGCAGAGCACAGATAGCCCATTATGTAGCTTTATGCTTAACAAACAAAACAAGCGAAAAATTACTATATATTTAAATATAAACTTCCCCTTAAAGACACATGTAGGAGTTAATATTTAGTAGAAATATGTAAGAGAGCTGGGATAAATTCTTACTCTGTGTCATTTCGTAAACTCCCAATATAGTTTAAACATTTTGAATTCATTTGTGACACATTTTAGTTTTGTTACTTTATTTCAAGTTAAAATATTGTACTGCTGGTTCGAATAACAAACATGATAACTTCTCAGGAACCCTTCCTGAGCACTAAACGAGGTATTACTGTAATGTGCATATTATTTATTTGTTTTTGAGAAGGAACTTACCCCCGAATCCCACTAGTAGGTACATGCTTGTAGAATATGCAGTGTTTACCTATTTTTTTCCTTTTGAAATGTTGTCAATTATGCAGTACGAATCAATTTATATAAAGACTAACCAAACAATGAAGTATATTCACTTATTTATAAAAGCTCTTTCACCTCAATAAGAATAAGTGTTTCTATGAAATAGTTCAAATTTGCATGGCAATTATATTTGCTAGCATATGCTATATTATCCGTGCCTAAGGAAATATACGTGTATGAACAAAAGGGGGGAGGGATACGAGGGAAAGACGGCAGTCCTACAGACGAAAGCTCTGGAAGTTAGATGCACTTCTTATAATAATAAACTATTTTAATCGATGTGAAGATTTTCTATTAAAGAGTAAACGTTTGAAGGTTCTGAATTGATTTTAATGGCATTCCGTCTAGTTATGATCAATATGAGAATTGAATTATTTTCGCGGTTTATCTAGTCTTGCAATTTAATAAACAGAAACTCTTAATGTTGTATACGTTTTTATTTTTCTATTTGATGGCTCTGTAACCAAACAAAATTGAAGGCTAATAAAAATTTGCTTTTTTCCAGCGATGACAATATTATAGTGAGTAATTTACGTTAAATTTACCAGTATCTAAATAAAACACTTATACATCATTCACAGGTAAGAAACAATACCTTCAGTTACATATCTCCATATACGTAATGTTAAAATGACCATGTATAGAGCTGATTCATTTAGAAGTCTGTTTGTCAATACATGTAGTTGTTTCTTACATTTATGACTATATTAGTTATAACCAACAGACAAATAAGGTTTTTATCTATCAAATGACGTATTATATTACTTTGTTTTCTGCATAGAGACTTGTAGATTGCTTCCTAAGAAAATGTTTTTTTCCCACGTGAACAAGTTTGTGATGATAGATGAAATTTTAATGGTTCATATTGGGTCGCAATAAATGCCAGAAGAATTGTGATAGTTATAGAACATTGTCTGCTTTTTGTATGTCACTATTCTATGTTCTTTGTTGCATTATTTTATTAAATAAAAACTATTTAGTGCACTACTACCATTAGTACGAAAAAGTAGTGTTCAGAAATTTATGGATTTTCTTTTTTCTCTTGTGAAAAGAAAAAATCTCTCAAGGAGACAAGAGCTCTGTAACGAATCGGCTTAAAGCGGGTGGCACTAAGCGAGGTCTTACTGTATACAAAACAAACAAAAACAATCACCTTTAATTGTTATAGGTTTTAACAGCCTGAAGTTGTTCTTTACTGATATTTAAAGGTTTATGTTAAGAAGGTAGTTGAAACAATTCTTCTTGTATAAGTTTTAATCAGTTAAATGATTCACCACCATGTGTTCAACTGTTATAGCAGCTATTTGGTAAACAATAGTCTTTGAAATTCATTTTTCTAAGAGGCATTGCAAATTTTAAAATAATAGTCAGTAAAAATATATTTGTTGAATAATTTCGATTCTGTGAATGAACCTTTATAATCACTCTTTTTTTCTTGAACAAAATCAGCTGTATGCAGCTCTATATGACAGAAAACTGATCAAGCCACACATCAAAAAGATTTTTTTCTGATGTCAATTTGATCTTAAATTTGAAATTGTCAGACCTTACAATGTAGGCTTTTAATGTCGTTGTAACTGTATTGTGTTTAAAATATTTTCTTCGAAGAGTGGTAGTAGTTGTAAGTCACATCTCATTAAAAACAAAATTTTTTTAGGAAGCAGTTTATGTGGTTGTTTTTTAAACAGCCTGTAAGTCATATAACTTTCTCATAGTACTTAAATAAGTGGTTTATTTTGAAATATCTTTTCAGAACCAAGAGTCAGTAGCGCTTACACTTTTAGAAAAATGTGACAGCATAGTTAACATGACAAATATTGAACTGAAGACGTAAGTGTGCATTTTTTTTTACATAGAAATAGCATATTCTTTAAATCACACTGTGCCAACTATTAGTTTACCCTTCGGTCATGTGTATTTGGAAACAGAATTTTCTATATAGTGAGGAATTTTTTAACTTTTGTATTGAGCAGCATTCCTATGAAGTTTTAAGTACGTAGATTTCATTTCAAGTTAGGTAGGCTAGAAATATTTAATGTGTATGTAAATGTTTTAATTATTCAAGGATGTTGAGTTGAATTTAATAGACGTTTTAAAAAATAAACCTTCAGATTATTTAAACTGCTATCTAACAGCAGAAAGATGCTTTCTTGTAACTACAGCTTTTATATGAGGAAGGTTGGCCGAGTAGAAGAAAATTATCGTGGGGAATTCTTCTATTATAAGTATCAGTGGTAATGTCCGCCTTAAAAAAAAAATATGATCAGAACTTGAAAATGTAAAGATTAATATGATTGAAATACCTGGTATAATATTAAGGTTTTTTAAAAAATTAAATATTAGATTTGTTTCTTAGTTTTTAATCAAACAAATTTAACGAGACAAGGTGCTTATAAAATCTTGAATTTCCTAAAAGATGCTGAAGTGATAAATGAAGAACATGTAACAATGCCATGATTTGGTCATTAGACTCTTAATCATTTATAATTTTCTGTAGCTAGTAATCCAAGTTCGCTGAACTGATTCTAGTTATTAAAGTTCTACCTATTGAATTTCAAAGACAGTTTTTATTTTACAATATCTATAATAACAATAAAAATTCTTGAAATATACAAGACTCAGTACTACTTTCTACATGCAAAACATGTACAGTCTAAAATATAGATACAGTTGTTGGTTGGCCAGTAATTAATTTATAATTATTTTGAAGGAAGTAATTGACAGCCATTGTTCTCATTTTTAGGTCATGATGAAAGAATCTTTGCCTAAATGTTTTTATGTTATTAGCTTATTTGTTAAATGCATGATTGTTTTTTTTCTAAGGCCTTTGCATATGGCTGCCAGAAATGGCCTTATAACAGTCACCCAAACTCTCTTGCTCAAAGGTGCCAATGTTTTAGCAACAGACAAGAATGGTAAGTCCCTAAATTCTATAAGTGTGTTAGATGTTTAACTTAATTTTACGTTTTTGTGTTTCTTTAGCCATTTATACATAATCAAAATATCAGAGTTTAAGTATTTAATCACATTTCATTATTATACTTGAAAGAATGTAGTTAAATAGCAAATTGGCTTCGGTACTGTAGCTTCATTAAGGTTTGATTGGGCTTGTCTGATTAAAACAAAAATTTATTTATTTATGGCACAGGACTCAGAGAAGAAAAAAGTGTAAATATTTTAAAAAATGACATTATTTTTCTTTTCAGATACTGTGAATTTCATGCAAGTCCTTGAAATCGTTGAAAAGATTGTAATTTAAAAGTTGGAAATTTAAAGCCTTAAAAGTGCTTAGATTTTAATTCAAGTTAGCAGTGCTTTAAAAACTTATGAAATTTTTAGTATTTATGATATGAAAAGAAAAAGGCATTAACTAGCAGTTAAGAAGTCAAATTTTGCACATTTAAATGATAATGATACATACTATTTGCTTTTTTTTTTTCAACTGTTGGTTGAAACTTTGGAATTGAACTTCCACAGAGATCACTTAGCAGTGCCAGCTAGACAGAGTAAAAGCATTTATAGAATAAAATATGTTATTTGTAGTTTTTTGAATAAATCTGGATCATTTATAAATGTGAATTTAATAGTAAACCTTTCTTTAAGACTGATTACACTTTTTCAGTACCCTAATTTCATAGTTCGTAAGCTCAAAACATCATACAAAACTGACTGTAACAAACCTGGAGTTTTTTTATAGACCTACATGGTTGTAGTGAGTTGTTAGTAGAGAAAAAAAATCTATATATGTTAAAAGTAATTGGTGATTTTTGTGGTAAAGTTTTACACAATTTTTTTTCATTTCACACTAACCCAAGATTCAGTTTTATAGGTCAAACTTCGTGTGCTATTTGTATTGTTTTGAAATTATATATTCTGCTACAAGAGAAGAAAACAACTTCATTATATTTAGAGAATCTTTATTAGAAGGGTTCCTCGGTGTTTGTTGTGATCATTTTAGTGAAGCAAGGTAAAAGTACCAAAATATCAATTCAAATAATATGAGAGACCTACAGAATAAAACAGCAAGCTTAAAGAAAAATAGTAAATAAGACGACAATCTTTCAACTTATAAAATGTCTACGTGACAGGCCACACTCCTGCCCTCTCCTGTGCAAGAGACAATGATGTAGCAGAGTGCTTAGCTCTAATATTAGCTGTGATGCCATTAAGTGCCACTCCTACGTCTTTCCATTCCATTCGCTTAGATAGTTTCTCACCAAGGTGCCGTAAGTATTCTTATTTATCTATGATAGGATGTAAACGAGAAATTACATGTGTTTAGACGTTAAGGTTTTACAGTATTTGAGCCGAATGAATCGTGTTTGTTAATGTCACTACCAGCATGTTACATTGCTAGCTGAGGCATTAATATCAATACCAGCATTTCAGGTTACTAGCTGAGGCATTAATATCAATACCAGCATTTCAGGTTACTAGCTGAGGCATTAATATCAATACCAGCATTTCAGGTTACCAGCTGAGGCATTAATGTCACTACCAGCATTTCAGGTTACTAGCTGAGGCATTAATGTCACTATCAGCATTTCAGGTTACTAGCTGAGGCATTAATATCAATACCAGCATTTCAGGTTACTAGCTGAGGCATTAATATCAATACCAGCATTTCAGGTTACTAGCTGAGGCATTAATAT